TAGTGTTTGTTGCGTGATATGTACAGACAGTGCAGGGGCAGACGGCGCAGCAGATTGTCTTCAGGCTGACCCCCACGGCCTTCCCCTCCTACAGGCTCACCAAGCAACACAGGCAAGCTTATACCTGCTGCTGCTGCTGCTGCTGCTGCTGCTGCTGCTGCTGTTGCTGCTGCTGCTGCTGCTGCTTTTGCTGCTGTTGCTGCTGCTGCTGCTGTTGCTGCTGCTGGCGAGTTTGGTGTTGCGGCTGATGCTGCTGCTGCTGTTGCTGGTGGTGTCTCGGCTTTTGCTGCGGTTGCCTCTGTTGCGGCTGCTGCTGTTGCTGCTGTTGCTGCTGCTATTGCTGCTGCTGTTGCTGCTGCTGTTGCTGCTGTTGCTAATGATGACGACGCAGCTTTTGCTGCTGTTCTTGCTGCTTCTGCTTTTGCTGTTGCTCCTTCGGGGGGGCAGCCGCTGCTGCTGCTAGTGCTGCTGCTGCAGCCGAAGCAGCAGCAGCAGTTAGCTTTTGTAGTGCTGCTGCTGTTATTGTTAATGCTGCAGTGCAGCAGCTGCTGGCCTGCTGCTGCTGCTGCCCGTAATGTTTGCTGCTGCTGCTCGTAGATGCGCCTTTCTGCTGCAGCAACCGCAACAGCAGCAACGTCACGAGCAGCAGCAGCAGCAGGACGAGCAGCAGCAGGATTAGGAGCAGCAACAGCAGCAGCAACAGCAGCAGCAGCAGCAGCAGCAGAGTGTGTGTTCTCTGTGTGCTGCAGACACAGCTTCTCTTTGGCCGCCCTGCAGTCGTTGGTGCCGCCGCTCAGTGAGCCCCCCAGCAGCACTCCTACCCCGTAGCAGCAGAAACAGCAGCAGCAGCAGCAGCAGCAGCAGCAGCATGAGCAGCAGCAGGACAACCAACAGCCGGAGCAGTCACAGGCAGAGCAGCAGAAGCAGCAGCAGCAGCAGCAGCAGCAGCAGCAGTAGTTGTAGGAGCAGCAGCAGCAGCACGGTGGTAGTAGTCTTGAAGCCAGTCGCTGCAATACAGGGTCTGCACACCGCTGTTATTGCTGCTGTTGCTGTTGCTGCTGCTGTTGCTGTTGCTGTTGCTGCTGCTCTTGCTGCTTCTGCTGCTGCTGCAGAGACAGCCCAGGGGCTGCGGCTGGAGTTCTCAAGCGACGGGTTTCTTCTGGCGCAGTTTCGGTACAAGTGAGCAAATTAGGGTTTAGGGTTTAGGGTTTACACAGTAGGGTTTAGGGTTTAGGGTTTACAAATTAGGGTTTAGGGTTTAGGGTTTCTAGCAAATTAGGGTTTAGGGTTTAGTGTCTAGGGTTTACAAATTAGGGTTTAGGATTTAGGGTTTACAAATTAGGGTTTAGGGTTTAGGGTTTCTAGCAAATTAGGGTTTATGCATTAGCATGTAGTGTTTAAGGATTGGGGTTTAGCGTATATGAATAAGGGTTTAGGGTTTACGGGTTCTACACTAGGGTTTAGGGTTTAGGGTTGCAGCAGCTGCATGCGAGGAAGCAAGACAACAAAGAAAAACCAACAAAA